CTAAACCCCTAGCACCTAAATACAGTGCTTGGGTCATAAATAACTATTGAATTAAAAAAAAAATGTTGAATGAAATGAATGAATGAATTAAACAGCACTGTTGCCCATCTACTAACTAAAGGAATAAGTAATAAGAAAACTATATACACTAAAATGAGATGTTACTAGTAAAAATCCTTCTTCCATCTCTCCCTTCACTCAGTCTTTTTCTTTTCCAAGTTTTTCCTTCTAGGGAATTATCATTTTGTTTTAGACTTTAAGTCTGGGCAAATGATGGTGCCATGCTTGATGGGAGAGAAGAAGGCAGTTAAAAGGCCATTGCTATTTGATGTAGGACATGAGAATAGTGGCTATGTCCTCTCCCTCCCTTCCAAACTGCAGATAAGAGTTTCCTAGCAGAGGGCGATTGCTGAGGGGCAAGAAGAATGTTTTATGAGATTGTTCATCGTAGAGCGTGTGTAGCCGTCAGATCAATAAAACCCAATTTCAGTGGGCTAAACTTTCGTAGCACAAACTATTTTATTAAGATGGTATTCTCCATAATGGGATTCTTAAGCTAAAAAAAAAACCCCTTTTCTTAAGTTCTTTAAAATAAACTACTCCCCTTCTCCACTATGTGTGTGAAAAGCAGCCGTGAAGCACGTCCCCTATTCTTCAGTTCAAAGAGGACAAGAACAGAGACCAGCCAGCTGAGTGCTTTGTTCTGAACTAAGGGACTTCACTTCATAATTAACTCTTTTTGGGAAGGCGGCGGTAAAAACTGCATAACGTGAACTGTGCAGAATATCCAAGCACTCGTGGCCACCAGTTCACCCCCTAATCCCCACTACAACACGCACACACACACACACACACACACACACACACACACATACTGTACCTAAGACTCCATTCTGAAGGCTGCTCAGTGATTTAACATGTTCAAAACATTCTACAGCCAATGGCTATAGGAAGCAACCTCCCCAGATTGGTTCCTCTCTCCCCACCTCCTCTGTCCTCTGCCTCCATCCCTCCCCTCTCTACACATCATACCAAGGAGAGAAAAAAGCACATTCATAGTTTCCCAAGATGGAGAACGGTCAGTGAAAATTTGGCAAACTGATTCCTGAAAGTTAATTAATCACTTTTAAGTGTTTAGAATTATAGGAAGCCTCCAATGGGATAAGTACAAAGGAATCTATCCTTCAAATATCATCATATTTCTAATACGAGGGAGGCAAATAGGACTAGTTCCATTTTATAAATAAAGCAACAAAGAAATTACTGCCAGGAAATTATGAAGAATCATGGAAGAATCAAAGAAAAGAGTCTGTTTCTTCCCAGACCATCTCCTTCCTCTCCTTGGTATGAAATCTTATCAAACCACTCTTCTTTTATAGAATCTCTGGGTTTATAAATGTTCTCGAACTTGTGAATCAAACACTTGGGATGAATTGTCACTATGCAAGGCCACCGTACAAAAGCCCCTCTCCTGGTGACAGCTTCTCCCTTCATAATGACACAGTCGTTCTCCATGAGAGCAGGCCACACGTGATATAAGACCAAGGGAGCGGTGAAATCCGAGTCATAGCTGCGGCGGTACCTGTTTTAAATACACAAAGCAAGAAAGAGAAGTTAAGCGATCATGCAGCATAACTGGGGGGAAACAACAGTGTACATTTTCATTTTGTATATGCCCAGATCTAGGTAAATGTGGATCTGATTCTGGTATTAAAGAGATGGTCGTGGGCTCTTAGAATAGGAACCAGTCATCACCAGGACCCGGCATGGACTCACTAAGACCGGGTCATGTCAGACTGGTCTTATTCCTTCTCTTCTCGGGATGACAAGCATGGCAATTGAGGGAAATGCTAGAGATGTAGCCTGTCTGAAATCCCTTAGGGCTTCCTGTAAGATTTCTCTTGCTGTCTCTGTGGACAAAATTAAAAAAATATAGGTGGATGATTAACTTAGTAGGTGGATTGGAAACGAGTTCAATGATCATATCCAAAGAAGGGGTAATTAAAGGATCGAGGAGAATCTGAATGAAGATGATGAGGGCTCCTTCTCAATCCTGTGATGATAAGTCAACATGTTTATCAATGCCTTGTACTGACAATATAGAAGACATGCTCAAAGGTGGGGGTGGACAGTTAAAAAAGAAACTAGATGCAGTATCAAAAAAATAGCTCAGCAGGCTGGAATAATACGCTGAATTTAATTAGATAAAATGCAGTGTGGATACATATGAGGTCCTGCGATTGCGTCTGAAAGTGTTAAACTGCACAAATAGAGGAGATACATGGCTTAGTCACAGCACAAATGAAACTACAGCAGGTTTTAGTCGTAAGGAACACCCGGGTGCTTGTTAAATTGCAGATTCCACCTTACACCTACTACACAAAATATCACGAAACGTGGTCCAGGAAGGTGCGTTTTTAACAAGTACCTCGAGTAATTCTGATGCAAGTGATCCACACATCATGCCTTGAGAAACTTGGCCTAAATAATGCAATAAAAACCAATGAAAAGTAATACACTTTTGTATTTATATAGCACCTTTCCTTTACAATGTTCTAGACAGGCTCCAGATAACTCATTAGTTCTCCCCAAAGACCAATACGTTCAACGGAAAATGACGCCAGGAGAGGGCCCCGCCCTGCAGCGCAGGGAAGTGCATAGCCAGGCCTGGGATCCAGGCAGCGTCTGTGGATTTCTCCACCCGCAGTTCTTTCCCCTAAATCGTTCTCAGGGAACAGAGAAGACGATTTCTTCATGAGCACTCCCCTGGCTTCTGCTCCTATGTCTCTTACTTGTAATCATTAAAAACTTCTCCATCTGCCCCAAATGCAATATCGAGGGGCGGTTCTAAGGTCTGCATTGCAAAAGCAATGCAACATATCTCCCGGATGAAGTCACTGAGGAGGCAAAAGTCGACTTCAGGAGGGAACGAAATCTTGGGGTTGATATTCATGGCTCGGATCACATCCTGAAACACAAAAGATGGCATCACCTTGTTACCCACGTGTGACAGGAAGCTCTGACATCCTAAGGACATTATAGCTGATGAGAGGTGGGAAAAGAACATATGAGTGAAAACAAGTCAAACCAGGAAAACATGTGCATGTACTGAAAGGAGAAAGATGTTGTCCCTCATTAATAAGGAAAAAGGAAGGAAGACGGAGTACAAATGACAGGCAAGAGAGTTTCTCTAAAAAGCTAAAGGAAAAAAAACCCTTCCATGGTTTTTGATTATCATTTCCTTATTTTCCTATTCTGAGGAAGTGTATGATATGCCAACATAGAACTCTCACTTGTTCATAACCTATAATAATAACGATTATAATAGCTTGCTTTTATTGAATATTTACTATGTGCCAAGTCTTATTCTAAGACTATCCACTTTCTTTCATTTCATCTTCTCAGTAACTCTGTGGGGTAGTGGTCATTGTTGCTCCCACATAAAGATTAGAAAACTAAAGCACAGAGAGGTTAAGTAAACATGTAACATCACACAGCCAGTAAGTGGCAGAGTCAGGAAGCAAATCCACACTTACCTTTCCCAAAGCCCTTGCTCTATCTCCCAATCTTAACAGCACATCTAGAGAAACTAAGACCATTTTTCCCCCATAATATAATCAAGGAAGAAACAGCAATAATGATGGGTGCTATTAAGTAAAACTGAATGCTGTTCCTTTCTTCTCTTCCATTATATAGAATCGGCACTAAATACTGGATGGATTTCTGGGTTATCAGTATTCAACAGAAACAGTAGCAGCAGCAAACCACTCCTAAAAAGAGACCCAACACTTACATTGACACTGCTTTGGACATCATACGTATCAAGATGACAAATGATATAATCCAAGACAGCATTCTCAAAGTCATTCGACCCCCCGTAAGATGGTGTCAACGATTTCCTCACACGGATCTTGAAATGTCTGAATGCCATTTTAGCTACATGGAATGCCTCCTGCACATGGAAATGCAGCAAGTTTATTTGGTGGGAAGAGGTGGGTAAAGAATTTCAAAGCAAGAAGTTAGAAAGAATTCAAAATTCAACATATATCCTTGGTCTTCCGATAACTAAATGCAGTTGATCAAAATAATCTCCAAATTTTGAAAAGTACATAAACACATATATGACAATCCATGTTCACTAATTTCAAGACAGATGACTGTTGCTCTGGTAATTCTGAGTTCAGGAAGCAGGACAGTGCAGAGATTCAAGGAAACAAATCCTCCGTTACGAGCCCATTGTAATATCATATAACCGGTCAAGAAATTAGAGAAAATTATCAGTCTAGTGTTTGTGTTGTACATAAACACATATCAAGAGTTCGGCATGTTTCCTGGCATATGTTAATCCAACAAATATTTACTAAATGCCTATTATGTGGTATGCATTGGGGAAACGCAGTTATGCAAGACTTGGTCTCTACACTTAACAGAGTTTTAGCCAACTCTGTGAGAGATTCTTAATTATATAAACCAGGGGTTGGAAAATTTTTTTCTATAAAAAGCCTGATATAAATATTTTAGGCTTTTCAGGCTACATGCAGTCTCTGTCACATTTTTTTTTTAACTCTTTGAAAATGTAAAACCATTCTACGTTCTTAGCTATCAGGCCATATTTTTCTTAGAAATATAGGCCAGGTCTAGATATGGCCCATAGGACATGGTTTACAGACCCCTGATATAAATGAATAAATACAGGATAAATTTCAGTATTTATGATAATTCTGCGCTCATATCAATGTGTTGCTTTTTAATATTTAATGATTCTCATTATGGACTCTTAGTATCTCAGCACGATACCCATACACAGAACAAACATATTTGCTTTGGAAAGTGAGGATTACATACGTGCACTTCTAAAATCCGTCATACTCAAGTAACTGACATACTAGCAGTTTCAGTAACTACTCGTAGTTAAATAAACACAATCACAACCTTCTGATTTTTCTAAGAACTGAAGGAAACTGATAAAACGATAGCCACTAGCGACGATACATTCACTGTGTGTGCATACGCCCATATTAGACAAAAGGTACCGTGCAAATCAACTATGTACAGTTATACCCACTCGACATAGTTCTGCATTTATGGATACTTCTTCGACAAATATCTGGTCAATATAAATATTAATAAATAGATATGAGCAGTTATTGATTGTGAAAAACAATTCACCCCCAAGTGTTTGTAAAGGAAGGAAGGAAGGGAGGGAGGGAGGGAGGCAGGAAGATGGGGAGACTATGGAATCTCCTCCCCCTCGGTGACCTCAGGCTCTACCAGTCTTTACAAGGCGTTCCATGCACTTTACTGAGCTTCTGTCCCCCGCTGCCCCCAAGCAGGTCCGAAGCCCGGAGCAGGCGTGTCACGTACCACGGTGGCGATGTAGATGATCCGCTGCACGGTCTCCGCCTTGTCGATGCAGCGCCGCAGCAGACACTGCGCATCCAGGCGGGCCTGGGAATAGGCGTCGCTGAACCGGGACAGGAGGGCAGCCTTGCGCGCCACGCTGGACAGCTTGGAGCGGTTCGGGGACGGCGTCCTGACCTTCATGCCGGTGGAGGGGCTGCCCGACCGGCTGCGGCTGCGGCTGTGGCTGTGGCTGCGGCTGTGGCTGCGGCTGTCGGGGCTCGGAGACCGGCTCCCCGTGGACCTGTCGGGGAGCAGGAATCAGCTCCCACTGATCAGCAGGAAACGCCACCACTCACTTCCCTCTGTTGGCCCTGGACTCTGGTTCTCGTCCCCAATAAACTGCAAAGGAGCCTGGGACCCCCTCGAAAGGACTGTGTCTCCAGAGACCCCAAATACTCCAGATTTGCATAGGGAGTGAGAATTTAAAACGCACTTTCGCTCGCGCGGCACCAAGTTGGACCGCTGGCCATTTTACAGCCGAGGAACCGGGAGCTCAGAAAAGCGCACAGGCCCGACCTGGAGCAGCCCAGCTAGCAAGAGCCAGAGACCGAGGCCCTTCCGTCCTTCAGGTCTCGCTTAAATGTGACTTTCTCAGAGTCCGACTGTGACTGCCGCACATTGAAAGGTCTTTCTTCTCCCTGTCTTTAATTCTCCCTCAGTGACCGACTTTTCTCCTAACAGCACAACCACAACTGGGAACTTTAAAAAATCGACTCGTTCGCATACTCATGATCTGTCTCCTCTGCTAGACCGGAAGATCCAAAGGGCTCCTGTCTTGTATTGCTATTTTGACACTGTTGTATCTCCAGCACTGAGCACCATGCCTGGCGCTTCGTCAGTTCTCGATAATCTGCTCAGTGGATGAATCAGTGTGTAACAAAACATTTAAATAGAATGCTACCCTGACCTAGGGGTACTTGGACGTGATGCACACAAGCACGTCACAGGCCTTGTGGAACCAGACGGAACGCATACCCGTTGAACAATGAGTTCTGTGCTCTTGTCCTAGCTTCACCCTGTCATATCAGTGGGACCTTTGTGATCATGTCTCCTCTCCGGGGCCTGTTTTTACATACATAATTTTGCCCTCGTTCAGGGTGTGGGTAGAGGTTGGAAGATCAGATGAGCTAATACAAAGGGCGGTACTACTTGGTAAATTGCAAAGTACTGAGTGGAAAGTATACTGTTATGAAGCATGAAGTAAATTATCAGACTAGCTAGCCCAAGAAAATGGGCCCCCCAAAAGGGAAGTTTCATAGAAGAAACTATGGGGCGAGGGTAACGCAAAACCGAGTGCAATGGTGTGCGGATAAGCACACTCTGGAGGGTGGGGGCGGGGGCGTGGAGGCTCGTCTACAGTGTCTGCCAATTCCCATGGTATAAACACTCCACTGTGGCAGAAAGGCACAGAGTCTGTTCTCGGGAGCCAGTATAAGACGGCACCGACAGAGCACTGGCAGAGTCATCCCCCAAAATGAAGGACTAAGGTGACATTTAGCAAAATGGGGCTGGGGGCAGGGGTGGTGGCTTTGATAGCCTGGATAGGGGCACATTGGGGGAGAGGTTGTTAAAAACAGTAAGGGAAATGCAGAGACTCCAAAAAGAAACAGCCTACTTTGTTCTTACTCAGCATGACCTGTCTTAGCATCTGTCCATCAGTACAAAGGGATTTCACAGGAACACTTAACCTACACGTGCTATCAAACAAAGTGAGAGATAAAAACGGAAGTCCCTGCAGTGACATGGACAGTCATCCCTGGAGAGAGGACTCCTAGGCTTCAGAGAAGAGGACCCTCCTATTATGGGAACAATCTCTCAACACTTGTGTGGCAGACCCACACAAATCTGCTTTCAAGCCCAAGAACTTTGCTTCCACACATCTCTGAGCCCCAAGTTAATTAGTGCCCGAGTACTGGGAACCCCAGGAGGTGTTTCCCTGGAAGGGTGCAGAATTCAAAGTGTCCCATAACAGGGAGGTTTGGGTTCAGGGTGTCACTTTACTTGCCCCACCCCCACCCCACAAGCCAGGCTTTTACCGCTAACTCGGCAAAAAGAGCTCCAATGAGAAAAAGCTCCGCGAGAGTCTGTCTGACCTTCCTCGGAGGGTAGACTTTTCGCCAGACAGAACAGCTATCTCGTCCTTGAGGTTTCGCAGCTGCTTCTCGTAGTTGGCGTCCGCGTTCCGCTGCTCCGAGCTCCGCTTGGACGAGCCGCGCTGCTCCGAGCCCCTGCCATCCGAGCCCCGGTGGCGGGCCTGCTCCTGCGCTTGGAGAGATTTCAGCCTGCACGGCAAAGGAGGGCAGGGAGGAAGAAGGGTGGAGGGAGGGAAGGAGAGGACGGAAAGGTGATAAGCGACAGCTGGCATGCTTAACAACCCGACGCTTCTCCACTTTGCCATTATCGCATTGGAAAACTCTGATCGAAACGCACACCAGAAACGCAAATTAGCAAGAGCACAATTCCCAGGGTCAGGGCAGCTTGCATGGGAAAAGGTTCCTAAAGAAAGATCCTACTCATGGAGCTCTCTAGCAAAAGGAGCGTGGACCTACAGTCATCCTGTTCCGCATTGGACTGATCTTAACTGCACAGAACTCTGAAAACACTTGACCTCCAAAACCCAGTCCAAAAGCTGGTCGAAGATACAATCTCCTCCCCTCACTAGCTCTTCAATTCTCTCAACAGATAGAATACGGGGGGGAAACTACCGTGGAAACTGGATAACATCCGCAAGACTAGCTGGAAGCGTGGACCTGTGAAAATAAGGTAGCACGGAAACAAACAAAACCCCTTTAGAAATAAAACTGGCATCCTCACGAAGATACAAAGAGGGGTGGCCACCATAAAACAGAAGCAAAAGCCGTAAGACACAACGTGTTGTGATGAAAAGGACAAGGGTGTAGGATGAAAATAAGGTAAGATTAAGAAGGACGTAGAGAAGCTAAAAATGTAATAGAATGAAAATCTGCACTAGACACGGTAAACAGAACCGGTGCTATGGGAAATCAATGAGTAATATGATCAATGACTTTGAGAAGGTATACCACATAGGAAATAAGAGATTAAAGTGATGATGAGGGGGAAGACAGGAGTCGAAAATAGAACAGCATTTCCAGCTAAGATTTATGGGCATTCCTGACAAAATCAGAACAATTGGAACATGTGCGAAGACAATCAAAAGGACAGTGTGTGTGTGTGTGTGTGTGTGTGTATGTGTGTGTGTGTGTGTGTAAAATATCCCTCCCGTTAGCTCATTTTTTGGGGGAAGGGGATCAAAATTAAGATTAAGGAAACTATAACCTTAAAGGATTGGTGTTTCTTTTCCCCTTTACCTATTCATCTTTAAGGAATAATCTGAAATTTAAACTAAGATTTTCCATAAAAATTATCCCAGTTTCATTTCCAATGTTGAATATTAGTAACCAAGTAAATATTCAATGTTTATATCCAGTTGATGGAACATGATGAACTTATTTAAAACTAAGTTCCGCAGTATGTTTTTTCTTAGTGATAGAGAAAAACATCAGGTGAAAAGGTAGGACCCAAAATTGTATACTTATGTACTTTATTCTGTAATCTCAACTCTATTTTTAATATATTAATCAGAAAGAATATCGAGTGTTAACAGCAATTGGCCCTGGAAATATGAGAGGGTTTTTATATTCTTTTACACTATGTTGTACTTTGGAAATTTTCTATAGTACATAGGTAGTATTTTTATTGTAAAAAATATATAAAACATTAATAAAAATATTGCTGCCTTTTCTCTTTGATTGTGAACAGATTTTTTCAGTTGTAATGGAACACCAAAAAAGCGAAGTTCAATGATTAATCAGCAGGCTGCAATAATCCTGTCATTTTTTTCTTACTGCTTTTTTAGCTGATTTATTTCCTCCTCTGCAGCCAAAAGGGATATGGCCGATCTGTTCTTGGTTTCTTCAAGAGTCTTTTCAGTTTCAGCCAGACTGTAAGAGAAATCAGTAACTAAAGACAGATTTTTTTCAAAATTGGCAGACTTTCTAAATCAAGGAATAAGTTCTTTGGAGAACTTTTGGCACATAATATAAATTCAACATAAACAAGATGAAGTTGTAAGACATCTGCATTCAATCAGATAATATAATGTTACAAATATTATGGTGGGCTTATATGCAAAAACATGCTGACATCCTTTGCTCAGTGTCAAACACAAAGAAATTACAGAGCTGCTACCCCTAAAAGACTATGTCATAACTATTAATATTAGAATGTGAAGGACAAAGAAACTTGTTCAATTCCTCCATCTCGCCCTTCTAATTCATCTGCTCTGATTACACCAAATCCCCAGGTTGCCACTCTCTATACAATCTCCATTTTTCTACAATAGACCGATATCTATTCTCATTACTTTGCATTTGACTTTAAAAAAAATTACGTGCCCACCTATAAAGAAAGTCCTCCCCAATCACACTTGACTTCCAGGTACTTCACGTCTTCCTGCCTCTGACTTCCACCATTTACTGAGCACAGTTTCCCTAAGTTTTCACCGTAGCTCGGTCATTGGTACTTTCAAGGACTCTCTTCATTGTAGACAAATCATAATAAATCATACTCTTTCTTTAGGTCTATCTAAATTTAAAAATAAATGGGAGTGGGATGAGGCCAGGCACAGTGGCTCAAGCCTGTAATCCTAGCACTCTGAGAGGCCAAGGCAGGAGAATTGCTTGAACTCAGGAGTTCGAGACCAGCCTGAGCAAAAGCGAGACCCCGTCTCTACCAAAAATAGAAAAAACTAGTGGGTGTGGTGGCGCAAGCCTCTTGTCCCAGCCACCGACCATCTCAAGCAAAGTATGTCAACCCTTCTCCCAAGCTCCATTCACGTCTATCCCATTACATTCGTGCTGTAACTACTCGAGCGCAAGGATTTTATTTTATTTATCTCTACCCCCAGGAGCTACAACAGTGCCTGTCACACAGAAGATCTTTTTTTTAATGAAAAATGAATGAATGGATGAACAAAATGTCTAAAGCCTAAAAGAAAGCCAAAGTAGCATTAACTTCATAAATATAGCTATTGGAGGCTGAAAGGAAATTAGAGTGATTTAATTCAAATATGAATATGTTACAGGTTTTAAAAAGTAAATATGAAAAAATAAACATTTTTTATGAAAAGAAAACTATAGAAAATGAAAAGAAAATGGACCAAGAAAGGAAGGAAAGTATAAGCAAGAATAAAGATTTTTTTTTTCTCTCCCAACACATACAAGCAAACATACATGCTCATTTCTCATGCCTGGATGACAGGCAGAGAGAAGAAAGAGAAGAACATTCATGTGCCAGAATTGTTTCAATCAGGTTAGCTTTCTATTTAAATGTTTTGTTACACATTTATTCATCCACTGAGCAGATTATTGAGAACTTACTATGTGCCAGGCATGATGCTCAGTGCTGGAGATACAACAGTGTCAAAATAGCAATACAAGACAGGAACCCTTTGGATCTTCTGGTCTAGCAGAGGAGACAGATCAGAAACATGCAAGCAAGTCCATTTTTTAAAGTTCCCAGTTGTGGTAAGTGCTCTTACGAAAAAAGCAGGTCACTGTGAAAGAGAACTGCGGACGGGGAGAAGAAAGACCTTTCAACATGTGGCACAGTCGGACTCTGAGAAAGTCGCATTTAAGCTGAGATCTGAAGCATGCCAAGTGCCAGTGGAAGACTAGAAAGTTCTTTCAGGCAGAGGCTTCAAGGTGAGGAAGTAGGCAGTAGACCGGGTCGGGGAGATCGGCATGGGATGAGGGCGGTGCAGAGGTCGGGCCAGACCACGCAGGCTGCTGTGAGAGCCTGGTAAGACATTTAGAATTTTTTTCTAGGTATAAAGGAAGGAGACTAACAGCTTTTAATAAGAAGGGTGACGTGATACCATAAAAATATATATATTTGCTAAGTGGAAAATGTAGTTGAGCATGAATAGAAGCAGGAAGCAGAAAGCCAGCTGGAAGGAAGGCAGCTGGTTCAGGCAAGAGATGGCAGAGGGTGGTGGTGGCGGAATAGACAGAGAGGGACAGACAGGAGAGATTAGGAGGGAGTTTCACCTGGATATTCTAATAGATTGGATGTAGGAGATGAGGAAAAGCGAGATGCATAACCAGAGTCCGGGCATAAAGTCCCACGGTCTCCAATGTCTGGAGTTTTGTCAAACCTAGGGAGACCTGTGCCCATCAGCCCTGTATTATTGGGATTTGCACCTCTGGAACTGAGCCAGAACCAAACCCATCAGCACTAGGTTAGACACAGGGAACCTCCTTGGCTGGGCCATTCATTCCAGAGCAGATAGGCAGCACCCTGGCCGTAAGAGACATGTGGGCAGAGTGAGAGTAAATAAAAAAATAGAATAAGAACCACAGGTAGGTTAACGCAAAACAAAACTAGGAAATCCAGGGAAAGCAGCAAGCCCCTTCATGTAGGCAACTTCGGATACCTGGGGGTGGGTGGAGAGTGTGCACAGACAGAGGGCAAACATAAATGAGGAAGCAAATGGGGGAAAATGTATATAAATGGATATGTGGGTGTTCTTAGTACTATTCTTGCAAATTTTCTGTGTTTGAAAGTATTTTTGAATAAAAAGTTTTTTTTAAAAAAAAAGCATGCCTTAAGTTTCTTGGTCCATGGTGCCCCCTCTGGGTGACAACAGAGTCATTGTAACAAGGAAAAGAAGTGGGAAGTCCTGGCCTCTATTGGTGCTGACAGTCGTCAAGAACCAGCAAAGTCGAGAGTCCTGCCTTACAACTAGAGGCAAATGAGGGGCCCCGGTCACCTGCAGCAGTTGTCAGCTAATGTCCCAGGAGACCTAACCAGACAAGGCACAACTCAGGGCCCATCAGCACAAGACACTAGTGCCCAGGTGGAACCAAGGCCAGCAAGAACCCAAAGAGCAATACAAGGCCAAAACCCCTTGCCTTCAGCACCATGAGAGTATGCGAGCATTCCTCCCTGAGATGCCAATCAAAAGAAGGACGAGGGGAAAAGAGATCCCACAAGAGGACAAAAATCACTCTTGGAATTAACTGAATATTTACACAAAAGGGACTACAATAAACCAAAAAAGCCCGTGTTACCTTAATGTGGCAATTTAAGGATTCTCCTCCCCCACTCCAAAATCAGCTGACATTAGTTGAAATAAATTGTAAATTTTATCCTTTTGCATATTCCATTGTAACTTTGGACTGCTGCAGTTCTGCAGCTCCACTGACTATGATTCCAGCTGGGAAAATGGATGGGGGTGTGGGGGTGCGTGTGCGGGCACACAGAGAAGTGTCCGGAGTGAAACAGACCAACGTGCTAGCAGAGAAAACAGGTGATTTTCATACAACCAATTTCTATTTGTTGTATGCATTTGGCAAAGGAAATTTGGATAACTTTTATAATCAGGCAAAACAAAATCAAGAGGGATGTTTTCCTTTGGGGGAGAAAGAAGGAACTCTCGCCACAAATTATCCCACCGCAAGCCTCAACTAGTTAAAAAAATACTTCCTTGCTGCCTCTCCCATCCACGCCAGCAGTGGTGCAAAGCTGTGGCAGGAGGGACACCTTAGTGAGGGGCTTTCGTTAGGTACGTCAAACACATTTTCATGCCTTCCTCAAGCACAAACCCAATGTCTGCAATTTTCTTTGCTGTGATTCCCTAAGATCGCTACCCTAGCCCTGCCCACAGCAGCCGTCTGATACCTCTTGTTGCCTGGCATTGCTTAATTTTTTAAATAATACATTTTCATACCTAATAGTTATTCCAAAATCTTGAACTGTTCATCTCTTAAAGACTCTACTCTCTCAGTCAGGCGTATATACTCCCCGAAATGAGAACAACGGTCAGGTAGATGCAGCTGGCTTCATCTTGCTTCTGCTCTTTCTCTTAATTTTCCTTTTTACCTGATCTTTTACCCCCACTCACTCTTTCCTCTCTGTATCTGTTTTTAAATTTGCCTCCCAAATGATAGGTTCTCATCTAACAATCTTTACTTGTTTATCAATATGGGCTGACGATGGGCCTATGAAACCAAGGGGTCCTAATATAATAGAGATATTCAAATTCAAGGACACAGCCTCCCATTCTCTCTCTCTCTCTCTTTCACACACACACACACGCACACACACATTATATTACTTATTTGCAAATGCCCACATTTTACATGAGCCATTATTCTCCTTTCAAATTTAAAATGTAATTAAGCTGAGAACGATTCTTTCTGGAAAGAGATAACTTGCATTCCTCTTACTCATCTTGAACCTTGTTGAGTTGATTACGGGTCGAGTTCAAATCGGAGTCCAACTGTTCTATGTCCCGATCCCGAGGGCCAGAATCTTTGTCTCTCTCCCTGTCAAATGTGTCCTGAAAAGATACACGAATCAAAAAATAATCTGGGCCGGGCGCGGTGGCTCACGCCTGTAATCCTAGCACTCTGGGAGGCCAAGGCGGGCGGATTGTTTGAGCTCAGGAGTTCGAGACCAGCCTGAGGAAGAGCGAGACCCCGTCTCTACTAAAATTAGAAAGAAATTAATTGGACAACTAAAAATATATAGAAAAAATTAGCCGGGCATGGTGGCTCTTGCCTGTAGTTCCAGCTACTCGGGAGGCTGAGGCAGGAGGATGGCTTGAGCCCAGGAGTTTGAGGTTGCTGTGAGCTAGGATGATGCCACGGCACTCTAGCCCGGGCAACACAGTGAGACTCTGTCTCAAAAAAAAAAAAAATATCTGAATACATGAGATGATATGGATGTTACAAAAACATTATGCTGCGCAAAAGAAATCTGGCGCATAATACGTGGTTCTAAGTCCATGAAACTCTAGCGAGGGCAATATTAATCTAGAACAATAAAAATCAGAAAAGCGGTGCCCTGGGGGTGGCATAAGGAATGCTCTGGAATGATTGAAATGGTTTGTATTTCAACCGGGGTGTGAGTTTACATGGGTATATATATATATCTGCCAAAACTCATCAACTTAAATTATACTTCAATTTAAAGAAATAAAAAGTCTTTGAAACATCATCCTACATCTCTATACCCAGAATAGCACCCACAGGGGTGAAGATCTGAGAAGCATCCAAAAATCCTCAGGGAGAAAAATTGTTTAATGACAGCTGATGTCTACAGAGCACTTACCATGTGCCAGGCTCTGGGCAAGTTGTTTCATGTACTTGTCACATTTAATTCTCACAATGACACTATTGGGTCAGCAAAATCATTGTCCCTATTCAGCAAATAAGCAAACTGAGACATAAAATTTAGCCATCTACCAACGGCCACAGGAGAAGGACTGGTTTTCTGCCCAGTGATCTCCAAGAGGGGATCCCTCAGCCACTGTCTCTAAGGCTCTCTTGCTCAGAACGGACCGCACTAAAGCCTGCCATTTCAGAAAAGAATTTAGGTTAATCCAAAAGTAACATTACTGATGTTTTGGTTACTCAGACATAATGATGTGATGTCTTAAGGTTTGTGTTCTTTTCCAGTCCGATCTCCAACTTTGTGAAAACTGACACTGTCCCATGGAAACCACGAACATCAATCACAAATTATGGACACTCTTTGCCCGTCTACTGGAGTTACGTTTTCTTCTTATCTTGGACATTTCCGATTGGCTCTGTTTCACCGTTTCAGAAGGTCAGGGGTTATCCCTCAGTATCCTTACCTGCAGAGAGGGGATCCTGCTGTCAACAGGTTTTCCCATGGAAGCGGCAGTAAAGGAGGCCTCCAGCCAGGGCAAAAGGCGCGACTTGATCGTTTCCACACCGTCATTATGTCCTCCTAAAAGAAGACACAGGTCAGGTCGGCAAAAGAAACGCAACCGCGCCAACTCAGAGAACACAGGGAAGCACAAAGCAGAGAGAGAAAAGAAGGGAGAGCAAGGCCATTCTCACCTTCCTGGGCCGCGGTAGTGAGGATCCCAAAGAGCTGTCCCTGCACTTTGGCAACTTGCTCGATGAGTTCAAGGCAGAAGTTGAGATTTTGATCGCACGTGTTTGCCTGCGAAGCCAAAACAGCAGATATCAGGGCGGTTCCTTCGTTCCGGGGCCCACCACAGGTAGACAAGGGCCTCAGGTGACCTAAGGGCTGCCTGCTCTGGTGTGCTCCTGGTGGCAGACACTGCAGCGTGGTCCCCTTTCCTCCTGGACACACAACTAGACCACGTTCCCCAGCTTCCCTAGCAGTTCGCGCGGCCGTGTAACTGAGTTCCGGTTACTGGGAGCAAAGTGACGTGCGCCCTGTCCAGGCCTTGCCCAGAAGAAAATTTCTTGAGTGATTCTTCTCTTTCTCTTTCCCCATCTGCCGGCCGCATGCAGAGGAGCCGGCAGAGTTACAGCAGGATGAAGGGGAATGCGGGTCCTTGAGATATTTCCAGATTGAACTGAGTTGGAGGAGCAAATGGGAGTTCAGAAGCAAAGACAAATGAGGCCAGATTACCTTTTCAAGAAGTTCCATAGTGTGGGGAAGAACAGCAGGACAGTGGCTTCGTTCCCAGCCCCTCAATGCCACCCTCTCTTGTCCACACAGAAGCTCCGGAACCATCAAGCCTAAATGTTACCTAATTTCCAAGGTCCTCCGTGACAGGCGTCTATCTGACTCATCCTGCCTCATTTCTCCTCTGCCCAATCTTCGGGCCCCTATCTGAAGGGACCACCGATCCTTTGGTCCCTCTCATTTCCTTTACTCCCAAGCAACCTCAGCTTACAAACAGTCAGCTCTTTCCCCCATGAAAGCCTGGTCCTCCCAGGCTCTCCACCAATGGTTCTCATACCCAATTTCTATTCCTCACCTCCAGTCGCTTCCGCAGCATGAAAAAGAGAGGGAAAACATGATCAATACACTTACCACTCAATTCATAAAATTTGTCAACACACATTTTTAATCAACTTCCCATCTTCAGATTGGAAAGCTATTTAAACCCATCAATTTCAGCACAAAAGACAGCAATTTCCACTTTAAGAAACTTCAGTCTCACCCACACAAAATGTGCTTCCTATATGTTAGATAAAAATTAATAGTACAAACGGATTCATCACAATATTGCTGATTTCACCGGTTTTTGGAAAGCTTAAGGGCAATACGGCGTGGGGAGTACAGCACTTGGAAAGCTTTCAAGGGCCCTTCACATGCTGGTTATCACAGGCTACAGTTGTTCCTCTGGGGAGGTAGCAGTCCCATTTGAGGGCGGCCCTTCAAGTACCCTGTTCCTAAAACGCCCCTCTGTTCTATATCGTGGCTGACTTTTCTTCATCACCAACTCAACCACAAAGTTTTCAAACGAAAACACTGAACTTTAGATATAAGAAAAAGGCTTATGTATACCCCCAACGGTTTAGCAAAGCTTCTATTAGGCTTCTCCACTAAATTTTACAGTGTCTAGACCCATCGTTGCTATTCCTATTGGATTTCCTGCGTTATTTATTCTCCTTAAGTATTGAACAATGGTAATGTTTACATTGACAAGTTTGTCCAAGATGAAAATAAGAGAAGTCAAATTAAAAAAAAAAAGTTGACAGCCTCTCTATTAAAAATAAAATACTCTGCCTTAATCACTTGTCAATTTCTTTTGCAGACATAAATTCGTTATCGGTAAATGCAGCAGAAAGGGTAGCACCCGTTGCAAACTCCACGTGCTTCCCCCATATTCCAGGCTCCCTTACAATTAGATCGGAGCCACATAACTAATTCTGGCCGGGGGGACCATGAGCGGGAGTAGCGTGTGTCATTTAAGAGTAGTGCGAGCTTTTCACTCCCTCTCCCCCTGAGACCTTCCAGGATGGGTGGGATGGCAGCTCCCCCAGATGAAGGGCAACTGCGGCTGAGTCAGTGACGGAGCAGAGCTGCCACCAGACCTTGCATGAATGAGAAAAAATAAAAAATCTCTTTCTGTTGAGACATGAGATACCAGGTTTTATTCATTACTGCAGCTGGGTCCGGTAAGTAGAGAGACAAAGGTCCTAAAGGGAAGAAAAATGTTCCCCATAAAGTTACCAATTAGATTGAATACTCAAGAAGGTAGAAGTCTGTTGACTAAGGAGGGGTAACAGCGGCAGGGAGTCTGTTTGAACTCACCATGGCAATCACAACGGCCTTCTGTGCCGGGAACCAGGCACATTTTGGCATAGAGGTAGCCTCTGTTTCAACCACAAAGATTATTCTAAAGCAAATAGGCGAGACCCCTCTTTAAGATCTCTTTCCTGTGTGTTGATATTTAATATGCTGTTTTCACTTGTTAGTGCAGATTTCTTGAACACAACAGAAGAGCAACGCCTGAGGGAGCCTTCTTGCATTACCAGCCCTCCCCACCACACCCACTCACATATTAAATAGTCAAGAGTTTCTAGGTTGTAATGTCCTGCTATTATTTAACTTTATGAAATGTAATCTTATACTATCCTGGAGATGAGTTTATCAAGGGTATAGTAAGTTTTAACCACTTGCTCCTATAATTATACAGAGTATGTTTAAAAAATAACAAATCTCATAGCATCTGACCCAGATTAACTCGTTAGTCCATAGGACTTTGATGAAAAACAAAAGCATCTCAGAGGGAGAAGGGATTCAGCCCAGAATTGACCTACTCCAGATACAGCTAACATTTTAATTTGTCTTCTCATGTTAACATCTCTAGGGAGTAATTAGGTAATCAGAATTCAGTTCTGCATATAAGGTTATTTGAGCCTTTTGTAGAGTTAGTTGCTCAATAAAACCACACCAACGTTGCATGATAAATTTGGGGCATTTGAGACCATATACTCTTACATGAACCTTGAGGACCATTCTCAGAGTCTTCGACCTTGTTTACTAAACATGCCAGGCTGGTTTATGGGAAGTTAATTCATATAATTTCTTGCCTAAAGTATCAACCAGCCCCGCTCATTCTCCCTAGAGTTTCTCATTTCTCCATCATGGAACGACTAGAGCAACCTTTCTAAAACACCATCCAAACACGCCTCCTCCCCACATAACGCTTTCGGTTCCTCCCCATTGCCCTCGGGGAGAAAGTTCGAACTCCTTACCACACCACCCAAGGCTCATAACCACCTGGCACCAACCACCCACCAGCTCAGGTCATCTCACTTCCACTCCCTGCATTGAACTATTCACAGCTCCTCCCCGCCCCCACCCCAAATACGCCAGCTTTTCCGTGCCTCCCTGCTTTCTGCACATGCTGTGTCCTCTATCCTTCCTCCTCTTCTCCAGCCGGAAGCTCACATTCCCATTCCCAGCACCTAGCACAGACAGGCACATCACAAATTCTGAAAAAAATATTCGTTGAATGAATAAATTAATGAGTAAATGTACACTGCAAAAATTGTAAATAGGCCTAACCCATTGAAGCTCAGTAACCATTTGTTGAATGAATTATGAAGCTTTTGATAACTGGCTCAGGTCTTGGTTCTTGGTTGACTAAGAAGGGATTCTTTACGGCTCTCTCATCACTATTCTCCATAACCAAAGAGGACTTTGTGAAAGTCATGTTCAAACCAAGCTGTCCCTGAACTTCCAGTGAAAGCCAAATTTTAAGGGAAAGTCCTGCTCAACACTTGAGGCTTGCACTAATTCAACATCAGTTTAACGACTGAAAGAAAATGAGTTGGCATTGTTTGCTGTTGGTTTTAGCATTTCTCTGGGGGAACTGAAAAATATCCCTTCTTAGAATTTTTTCAAATAAATGATCAAGCAAGACATAGTTTGTCCTAGGACCCAGAAGACTGATAGATGTTATAAGATTTAAAACAAGCCAACAAGTAAACAAAAACCAAAGACTTTAGCACAGAAAATTATAATTTTAAAGAATACACTATCTCTGATAACATATGTAGGATACAATGAAACAGATACTAAAGCACAGCTATAACATTGTGCCTGAAATGGCAGTGATGGCCAGATTAAAGTGGAGGTGACAGGAATGGATAAAAAGGAAATTATATGAGGGAAACTCAGAAGAAAAACTAAATAGGATCTAACTGTTAACCCAAATAATGGCTAGTTGGAAGAAAATCAAAATTTTGCATTTTGTTTTAGAATTAATCTAAGTCATTTATTTATTTTCCTCGGAAATAACTTTTTCCCAGGGGGATGGCTTTAATCACATCCCTAATTCTGAAGGAGTACACATGGTCTTTTATTCTGCTTGAGTTAATTAGTGCTAAACCAATGTGGTCATAGTCAGCAAAATCAACTTTCCATAGCAAACATAATTTACAGCTTTTAATAAGCAAACAGAGCTCTCTACAACCAACACTTTAACAAATACAGTTTGCTACAATGAATATTCTTCATCTTAAGATTTCAAGTCAAAAGTCCCTGGAACTAATGAAAACCATCTTGCAGTATTATAGGAAAGCATTTAGCAATTGACCAAAACTCAAAGTATAAGTGATAAGATACAGAATAGGTTTACATCTAACTTACATTGTATGGTAAGTAGTATATAGATATTTTCTCATCCTCTGTCTTTAGCTACACGAAGACAGATTATTAAAAACACTTACATTCTCACACTTGTGCCCCTAATTGGATATTGTGGCTTCTAGTTTCAAATCAATTTTAATAAAAGCTGAATTAAAGATATTTTGGGCAATTTTTAATTCTACACTGGATATGAGGTTTTGAGAAGAGAAATAAGGAAACTAGGTGTCTGGCATTAATTCTGTCATTATGTATTTGTTGAGCAGCTAATTAATACTAGGTGCTAAGCATTGTTCTAAGTGCTAGGAAAACAGCAGTGAGCCAAACAAGGCAGAAGTCTCTGCCCTCTGGAGTTTACATTCCAGTGGAAGGGAAAAGGGAACTGACCATAAGCAAAATGAGTAAATAAAAACTAGAAGATGCAGGGATTATGGAAGAAATAAAGCAGGCAAGGGAGACAGTGAATGCCAGGGATGAGGACAGGAAACTGCATTTGTAAACAGGATGGTCAGATGGGCCTCTCTGAGAAGGTGATATTTAAGCAAAGACTTGAAGGAGGTGAGAAAGCGAGGATGTTGACATCTCAAATGTCAACAGGTGAAAAGCTTTCCAGGCAGAGGAAACAGCGAGTGTAAAATTCCCTGAAGAAGAACATGTCTGGCATGTTCTAGAACTGTGCTGTCCAGGACAGCAGCCACGAGCCGCGTGTGACTATTTGAATTTAAACTGAATTTAAGTGAAATTAAAAATTCAGCTCCTCGGTGCGCACTTGCCACATTTCAAGTGCCCAACAGCCCCCCGTGTTGGATGGTGTAGCTGTAGAACATGTCTATCATCATCCAAAGTTCGGTTGGAGAGCAATGTTCTAGAAAGAGCTGGAACTCTGACTTTTTCTGAGGGGAACAGGAAGTTTAGAGGGTCTTGCCAAAAGAGTAACTTGATGTGACTTGACATTTGAAGGAACCACCTTGGTGGCGCCTTGGTGTTGAAACTGTGCCTTGTTTGCCTTGGGGCCCGGGGCCCGGTTGAACCAGGCACGTTTACCGGTTTTCGTTTTTTTTGCTTTTGGGTTATTACTTGTTGGTTGGTTTTTTTTCCCCATCCTTTTTGTTAAATTCCCGGGTTTTCGGCGGGTTGGGGGCTTTGGGGAAGGGCGGGGGGGGGATGTAGTGAAAAATAACTGGAGGGAGGCCTTGGGTTGCGCTGGCGAGGGGGATGGGGAAGAGGGCGGCGGGACCAAACTGGTGCGCGAGGCCCGCAGGGCTCTCCCGCCGCTAGGGCCGCCAGCGTCCTTGGTTACCACTCTTTGCAAGGCCTCCCGCTCTCAGGCCGCGCGGAGAGGCGGCTCCGACACACACGAGCCCTTCCTTCCCGCGATCCCGGTGCGAGGCCGAGGTCCCCGGTGGGAGTCACAACCGCGGGGGCTGCGCCAAGCGGCCGCCGACTCCACCCTAAGAAAGCCTCGCCGCGGGCGGTGCGGGGAGCGGAGGGCGCGGCCCGGGGTTCCCCCAGACTCACGTTGTACTCCTTCAGCCAGCAGTCCAGCTTCTCCTGCAGCGTTCGCAAAGATTCGTTCGAGACCAGTCTCCTCAGCATTTCCGCCATGCTCGCTTTCCCGCGCGGCCCCGCTCTGGGAGCCGGAGACGTGGAGGGGACGAGGCGGTGGCCTCCGCAGGACCGCTGGGTGATGTGGCGGGAAGGGTGTTCTCTGCCCGAGGGGCTCAGAGCGCGGCTGGTGTTTCCATCCTCCCCCTCGGGTCGGACCGGGCAGGGTTCGGGAAGCCGGGGGGAGGTGCCCTGGGCCGCAGTGGCCGCGCCTCATCCGCTGCCCGGCGCGGTCTGCTGGCTCCCCCGCCGCCGCCCCCGGCCCCGGCCATAAATACCCCGGCGATTATTAAACAAGCCTTGACGTGGCGGGCCCGCCGCCAGGGACGCGCCCGGCCCGCGCCGTGGCAACCGGGTGCTGCCCCGCCCCGCCTGCGCCCCCGGCCTCGCCCGCCAGGCCGCGCTGTGGCCCGGCGTCCGCCCGCGCGCGATGTGGCTGCCGCTGCTGCTGCTCCTGCTCCTGCTCCTGCTGCTGCTGCTGCTGGTGGTGGCCGAAGGCGAGGGCGCCAAAGCCACGGACACGCGGGCCTGGGCCGGGGCTGGAGAGCGCCAAGACTCCAGATGACGGCGGCGCGACCCCCCGGTGGGCTGAGACCGGTCGCGGTGCGAGCTGGGGGGCACCCGGGGCCCTGGGTGACCACGCATGTATAGAAAAGCAAAAGTTGACTCCCCATAGACGTTCTGGGCTAAGCTCTCGGGAAATCACCTCTTTGGCCCCTTCCTTTATTCTTTCACCTCTCACTCCTTTAATTCTTCGTCCGTAGCGGGGTTTACCTGTACGCAGCTTTGTGTAACTAAAGTTTCAGTTAGTTCTTCCTGCTTCTCTTTTGCCTTGTTCCTTGACCCCACTGGGTGGGTACCCAAGTCAGTAGATGTTAGCTCCTGGATGTTCACAAATCCCGCAGGTTTGGGTAAGATTTAGCAGTATATATTTTAGTATATTTTTTTAGAGTCATTGAACACCATAAAGCTTCATTTAATTCTGAATTCTCTAATTGGGACTCTGTGAAAGTTCAGACCTGGTTTGGCACTATTTCTAAAGTGTACATGCTGTCATTTACAGTGATGGTGTGAACTGCTTAAGAAATGAACCATTTCAACCATCATTAAGCACTTTAGAAGCAAGCCCTTGCTTTACGCACTACCGAACAATACGCTGATGGCGAATCATCCTCATCGACTCATTGAAACAGTGGAGGTGGAGCAGGGCCTCCGCTAGCTAGCTAGCTCGTTTAACTCGGTTGCGTTTCTTTAGGTACTTGAAAATCCAAGAACGCTGCACGTATCCAAGTATTGTAAAATTAAGAATGTTCACCGCCTCTCGTTTTTATTTCTCTTAATTACAGTGGTTTTACTGTCCGCCGATGAAAATGAAAGGCTCATTTCTGGCGCCTGTGTTCCTACTACTTTCTGTAGACCACAAAATAAGGACTACAAGGGTGCAGCATGTTATTTTGTTATAGTAGAATAATAATTATTAATGTTAAGGGGAAAAAAACAAAATAACTAAATATTCATTAGACATCTTCCTTTAAAAATATATATATATATCTATGGAAGAAGGAAGGGAATTGAGAAAAACCTCAGTTTTCTTAATTTGGAACTAGTAATTGAATATTTCAATAGACAATTGGAATCTTTGAAGAGTCCTATTTACTTGTTCATATAAAAAATAAACTGGAACATTTGCTTATGTCAGACAAACTAGAGGTTAAATCCTTTTTCCTTTCTGTGGGCACCTTAATTAGCCTCTAATCCTTGGTTTCAGCATCTGTAAAAGGACAATAGTTCTTGTTTCATAGGATTATTATGAGACTAAGATAATTGATATAAAGTAGCACAATGCTTGGCATATGCTATAGTAAGTGCTCTATAAATGCTATGATCATTATTATTAGTAATGTAGGTCACAGCATTTAATAAAGAAAACTAGGTTGGAAACAATCTAAATTTCCAACAAGGGTAATGGTTGAGCAAATCATTCAATGAAATGTTGTACAATAAAAATCTTGTTATTGAAGAATACCTAGTATCTAGGAATTTTCATTACATAATGTTAAAGGGAAAAAGCAGAACAATAAATTATATATAGTGTTAAATTATACAATGTGAACTCAAGGTATGATTATGGGTGATTTTAATTGCTCCTTTATACTTTTCCGATTTTCCAAATTTCTG